AGCTGTTATTCCAGTCGCCATTAGCGGGAAGGTTTCATTGTCTGAAGCATTGCGTATTAAGCTGAAGAACACGTCATCTTTATTTCTGGTGAAGATGTTTTGGATATGATTGTGTGATGTGGTAGCTTTGGGTTAAATGAGTATGAATTTCGCTTGGTTTGAATAACTTCAATAACAAAACTACCCCCAACGGCTTCCGTCAAAGCCTCGTGTTTTTTGTTTTCAACATAACACACGATGCTCCAGACAACGTGAGCTTTGGAAATTCTGGGTCAAGTATTATTTATTAAAAAAAGATGAAATTTCACTTGCAAATACGGTTTTTAATCGATTATGAAACATCACATATTTCATGTTTTTGTATGTTGAGGTAATTTACGCCAGAGCGGTGAACTTGCGCGAGGATACTTCCTCATAAGTACGAACTTTGTTATTCAACGTCAAACTCTATCATGACAAAAAATGGAATAGTTATTAGTTCGGCACCTTTATTTGGCAGGTGGCGAACGCTCTGTTTTTGTGCCGTTTTAAACAATAATGCTGTTTTTATTAAAAAGGACCATGGGAGGTTCGAAGCTCCTGAGTAAATGCGACTATAGATTTTCTTCTTCCATTTGAAAGATCCTTCATCCGATGGAGGTCTCCGAATAAGATTCGAGGGACACACTTGACATGTTAGGGACCTTAAGCAAACCACGATGCCGACGGTAACGACAGAGGACGTGGCAAAACTAAAGATCTAATGGGCAGAAAAATAGCTCAGTACTTGGTTTTTAAAACTTTGTGCATTTCTCAGCCGTCCTCTACAAAACGACAACGTGAAATCACCATGAATTAGCGTCGTTTACAAATGGAAACCGCGACGGCAAATTATTTTAATTTCCATTTGAAACTCAAAGATACTTAGATGCGTTATGCTGAAGTGGAGACGGTAAACACATGCAGCCATTTTCGAAATTCTAACGTAAGATAGAAAATAATTTTTTTAATCGACGTCTTCCTCGGCTTTGCTGTTCTGACTACTTAAAGTCCCTATTTACCCTGACAAGATGAAAACAGAAAACCGCGGATGAAAATTTGATATGGCAAGATACGACCATTTGGGATGTCACGCGAACACGACGTGATTGACGACCACGTTTTGTTTCCAAGTAACTTCGGGCGTGAAAACCCTAAACACGTGCTTGTCTCGGTAACTTGGAACTACTCAGTTGGTCGTGCTCATTCCCCTCGAGACACGGCTCTATGTGGATCAGCGTGAGGCGAAGACTGAGGGAAATTGATTGCTTTTTTTGTTCCCATGGCGATAAAAGTGCGCAAATAAGATCTGCTAA